TGCAAGCTCCGCCTCCCGGGTTTACGCCATTCTCCTGACTCAGCCTCCCGAGTAGCTGGGACTACAGGCGCCCGCCACCTCGCCCGGCTAGTTTTTTGTATTTTTTTAGTAGAGACGGGGTTTCACTGTGTTAGCCAGGATGGTCTCGATCTCCTGACCTCGTGATCCGCCCGTCTTGGCCTCCCAAAGTGCTGGGATTACAGGCGTGAGCCACCGCGCCCGGCCCTTTTGAAACGGAGTCTCACGCTATCACCCAGGCGCAATCTCGGCTCACTGCAAGCTCCGCCTCCCGGGTTCAGGCCATTCTCTTCCTCAGCCTCCCGAGTAGCTGGGACTACAGGCGCCGGCCACCACGCCCGGCTAATTTTTTGTATTTTTAGTAGAGATGGGGTTTCACTGTGTTAGCCAGGATGGTCTCAATCTCCTGACCTTGTGGTCCGCCCGCCTTGGCCTCCCAAAGTGCTGGGATTACAGGCATGAGCCACTGTACCCGGCCGGGCTTACTCTTCTTAATCAAACACGGTCCTGGGGAATCAGGGCCCTTGAATCACCCAAGTCAGGGTGAACAGTGGGATTCATTTCCCCCAATGGCAAGCAGCCCCAGATTCCTAATCTGAGCCCAGCGTTATCTCAGTTCTCCAGGAGTTATGCAGGATTCACAAGTCCTGAGTTCTAAGGTTCTGAGAGCCCATGATCCCTTGAAGACTCATTATAAATACCCAAGTCTCACTCCACCCTTGCTGGTTCCTTTCTTGGAGAGGTTTACCATGGAACCCAGCACTCCTGAATCACAGGAGTCAGTTGTGGAGATCTTGATTCTCACCTCACTCCAAGGCCTAAAAAGAGGAATTCCTAAGGCCAAGACATGAAGGGACCCTTCTAGATGGGAAAGGAGGGTTAACAAGGCAGGGGAGAGAAGGGAGTGATGTTGGAAAGGAACAGCTGCAGAAAACCAAGACCCCTGGGATTGCACTGAGCAAGCACTCCCACAGAGGCTTATGGGAAAGTGGCCTCTAAATGCAGACCATTAAGATGCTAAAATTGGCAAAGTGAGGTGGAGCCATTCCTCAGAGAGGGAGGAGGTAGGGGATCAGTGACAGCTGGAACCGACCTTGGGAAGTCCTATCCTCATTCCCCAAATGTTGGGCAAGCAGCAGAGGTGGCAAGTAGCCCCTCCAGAGCCCTCTGTGGCTCCTCCCAAAGCACTCTTCCCCATCATCCTACCCTGCAGGCACCACTGCAATAAAATTTGGGAAACAAACGGAGAATTCAGTGCTGAAGAATAAGTCTGCAGGGAGGGATAAAGAGTAGTCCCTAGGTGTGTGCTGAGGGAGAAGTTGCACTGAGGGACAAAGCTCAAGGAAATGGGATGAAGGATTTGGAGGACCAAATACAACAACCAAAAAATGGGCAGAGCCAGGGAACCTTAGGGTGGGGTTGAAGGATGAAGTTGGCAGTGAGACAGGCTGCCTTGATCTCAGTTTGACTTACTGAGCCTTGCGGTCATTTGAATGAGGCCTCCTATTAAGCGAGGAGAGGAGACCACCCCTCATATTGTCTTACGCCCAACTTCTGCCTCCAAAGAAAGAAAAATTAAAAAATAAAAGGCAGAAATGAAATCCACAAGCAGACAGCCTGGCGCCACACCCTGGGCCTGGTCGTTAAAGATCGACCCCTGACTTAATTGGTTATGTTATCTATAGATTACAGACATTGTATAGAAAAGCGCTGTGAAAATCCCTATCCTGTTCTGTTCTGATCTAATTACTGGTGCATGCAGCCCCCAGTCACATACCCACTGCTTGCTCAATCGATCATGACCCTCTCACGAGCACCCCCTTAGAGTTGTGAGCCCTTAAAAGGGACAGGAATTGCTCATTTGGGGAGCTCAGCTCTTGAGACAGGAGTCTTGCCAATGCCCCTGACCAAATAAACTCCTTCCTTCTTTAACTCGGTGTCTGAGGAGTTTTATCTGCGGCTCATCCTGCTACACTATCATCCTTCAGAAATGAGCTGTCAGCCCCTACACCAGAGACTCAGCTACTCCTTTCCCCACCCCCTCCTTCCCCTGCAAACCTTTATTGTGAAGATCTCACAACATCTCGAGCTTGTTACTGCTGAGATGAGGCCATTACAGCCCTGGTTTCCTCCTCTTTTCAAAGAGACAAAGGAAGGGGTGATTCTTGACTAGAAGGCACCCAAAGCCATTGGCCCTGGCCTGGACAGAGGTCCCCTCTGCATCTTGTTGGATATAAAATGCTCTAGGGATAAATGCTCGATGCCACGAAGTAAAACCAGCACTCAGGTAAATTTTCTCAGCAAGGCAATTTACTTCTGCAAAAGGGTGCCACGTGTGTCAATCAAGATCACGAGCACACAGAACAAGGGAAACCAAGGGAGTTTTTGTCTTTAACACAGTCCCTATCTCTGTGTCACTCCCCCATGGGCTGTGGCCGGACTGGTCTGAGCTGACCCAATTGGCTACTTGTACATATTTTCCTAAATATAAAAGGGGAGGGGGACGTGAGGTACAGAGGTGGAGCGTGTGAGACGTGCAGTTTCAGGGAAATAAAGGATACAGGTAACCAAGGGAACAGATGTGAGTTATTGAATAGAGCTGATGGGAAGGCGGGTAGGCTGTTTACAGTAACTAGGGGCAAGGAAGAACAAGAAAGTTGAGTTTGAGAACAAGGATAAGGAAGTTAACAGGCTAAACCCTTTGAAGAGAAAATCAGAAAGATTTATTGCATCTTACAATTCCTCCCTTTTAATTTTCTTACAGTCCTTTCTCCTCAAACTTTTTAAACATGTCTTGGCTTTGCCATTTGATTTGATCTAAAAGGAAAAGCTTACTTGAATAAGGTAGAGGAGGTAGAGGAGGAGGCTTTAGTAAGTGCTGTTTGTACAATTCTTTGTATTAGCCCACGGATGCATGGTATGACACAAAACCCAATGAGAATGAGGACGCCTACTACAACTGCAAGGGAAATAAGAATTGAGACCATGAGTCCTTTCCATTTACCAAACCACTTTCCTAGTCATCCTCAAATGGGGTCACTGACTCCAGAATTTTTAGCTAATTCATTGGATAAAGCGGTAAGTCTCTGCAAGGCCTTTGTTATGCTCCCATCGGGGGCAGTGTTGTTTGGGATGAAGGTACAACATTGGGTTTTAATCATAACACAGACTCCACCTTTTTCAGCTAATAACATGTCTAGAGCTATTCTGTTTTCCCAAGCCATTTGGCTAGTAGGCCCTAATTGGTCAGCTATTCCTTTGATAGCATCCCTGGTGTAATTAATAAACCACTGCTGGTTATAATAGATGTAATTTATCCAAGCTAAATTTTTATTAATAGTTACCCATGGAAATATGGATTCAAATCCTGCAGCTATTTGGTCTCGGGCTTTGAACCTGTCAGGCACTCCCTGTGGGACTCCAATGACATCTATGTAAACTTGAGAGTCAAAAGACCGATAAGGGCTTCTCTTATTTTCCGGTGTTGTGGTTTTTCTTTCTCTGGATGATGAAATGACAGGGTGAAAGGGATAGCCAATTGGACAAGAGCATAAGTACTGCTCCAGTTACTTGGCAGTGTCCAGTAAGGGTCCACCACAATACCACCATACATCCACTGGAGGATGACTAAGGCCAGACTGATGGGTAAGCTCTTGGAAGGGCTTAAGCTCACTGCATCCCGTTAAGCTTCCAAGGAATGCCAAATTCTCCCCCTGTTGTGAAAGACACAAAGTGAAACTGACATTGGGAGACGGAAGCTGGATGGTCCTCAGGGGCTGACCCACATGGTGTTGGACTTTGGGATATAGCAGAGAGAGCGCTTGGCATGATTTGTTGCCCCAGGCTGTGGAATCCTGGAAAAAAAAAAAAAGTACCACACAGCCCATGCCTGGTCGATCGAAGTGGACCTAGTGGAAAGGGGACAATCTGGGTCTCTGGTCTGCAGTACGCACAAGCATAACAATTGCTTTTGTTTAACATGCGGACAGAATATTGAATCCATTCCAACCAGGCATTTACATCTTGATATCCTGTTTCAGTTGTTAGGCTTTGTCTTAAATCTTTTACTTCTACAGTATTTACTTTGGCATTGTTTTTAGGTAGAGTAGAAATTTCGGATAAAGAAGAAGAAGGGGGTCAACAAAGCGTATTTTAAAGAAGCCTATGTGGTCATATCCATTGGCCTCCACTCCTAATCCATACAAGCGTTCTAAAGGGGGCACAGGATTGGTGGAGGTAGGGGCATTAATAGAGATTGTTACTGGGTTACAGTGGTCAAGTTGACAACTAGAGGGGGTGATTCCTTTGGTAAGGCGGAGGTAAGATTTTAGGTCGGTACAGATTTCTGGGGAGGTCCCGCCATATTCTCTGGTAGTTAGGATGACATCTGCCCACTGAGAACATATCTCCCAACTTGGGGTGTCTTGGTACCCCCGCCATGAGCAAGGCACGGGGTCAATGGCTTCTCTGAAGGGGCAGAGGTATTTTTTTTTTTTTTGAGATGGAGTCTCGCTCTGTTGCCCAGGCTGGAGTGCAGTGGTGTGATCTTGGCTCACTGCAAGCTCCGCCTCCCAGGTTCACGCCATTCTCCTGCCTCAGCCTCCCAAGTAGCTGGCTACAGGCTAAAAAATTAGCCACCACCATGCCTGGCTAATTTTTCGTATTTTTAGTAGAGACGGGGTTTCACCGTGTTAGCCAGGATGGTCTCGATCTCCTGACCTCGTGATCCACTCGCCTCAGCCTCCCAAAGTGCTGGGATTACAGGCGTGAGCCACCGCACCCAGCTGGGGCAGAGGTATTTTTCTAAAGTAGAGACATATCTTTCCCAGTATTCATCCTTTTGACAAGGCATGACAAGGCAAGCATCAAAGGTAATGATTTGGGGTGAGTCTGACCTAGTTACATTGATAACAAGGTCAGCAAGAGAATGAGGAAAGAAGAAAGGGGAATAGAATAGATAAGAGTGTTAAACTTTTCTTAACCTTAGGTTTGAGGGGGTTTTTTCCCTTGGATAATGGCCCACGACTTCAGGAATGGCGGTGCTTTCTTGACTCAGGTGCGATCGGTCCATCTTTTCTTGCTGTTTGGACTGCAGTTTCAGTGGTTAGAGGCACTAGGCCAGCTCCTCAGGCTGGTGTCGAGGTACTGGAAACTCTAGGGGTGGCGCCTGTACTGGAAAATTGTGAGTTCTGAGGGAAGAGAAAGTGGAAGTATAAACCAAGTATGTAGGAATGTTGGATTGCTTTGAGAGGTAGTTTGGATTCTTAGTAGGGTAATAGGAAGTCAGAAGACATTTGATTTATGGCAACCAAGTCTCTAGAATTGTTTGGCTAAGGGTATAAATTCCTATACACATATAAACTTTGACTGTGCTATACACAGCTTGGGGTCTTTAATGGGTCCTCTAATGTAGGTGGAGATAAGACTTCCTTCATAAGAGGTTTGAATAACATTTCTCTGAGTTCCCTTTAGCGCCTACAGGAGAAACGCTCCTGCAGCATTATCTGATTTGCTAGGTTATTTTCTGGCTTACCTGATTTGCTAGGTTATTTTCTGGCTTACCTGATTTGCTAGGTTATTTTCTTGACTCTTGAAAGACAGGCTTTTTGGTGCCTGGGGACATGGACAATAGCTATTTTTTTCTTTTCTGGTAACTGAAGGTTACTTAACACTTCGGTGATTAACGCCTCATAAACAAGGCTTTAACTTTTACTATTAATTCCGTCTGAAATTTTCTAAATGTATGAGCCACCGTAAAAGCATATTTAGAATTAGTATAGATGGATCCTTCTGGGTCCTGCAGGGACTTTAAAGCTTGACTAAGTGCAGACAGCTTATAAATTTGAATAGACAAATTATTAAACACTTTGATTTTCTCTCGAACTTTTATTAATCACTGAACACTTGTTGCATTCTTTTTCCCTTAATCACTTTTGAAGGGGGTTTCTCTTGTTTGGCCAGACGTGTGTATGGTAATCAGTTAAATCTAAACATGCGTGCTTTCTTTTTAGATTTGCATCTCTCATTAAGAAACTTGCTAGGTTACACGAATTATCAGTAATGTTAAACCATCCTTTTTAACAGGATAGCTTCACACTTATTTATGCACATGTAATTCTTTTCTGGTAGCATATTTTAATATAAGTGACTTTAAGAGGCCGGACGCGGTGGCTCACGCCTGTAATCCCAGCACTTTGGGAGGCTGAGGCGGGCGGATCACAAGGTCAGGAGATCGAGACCATCCTGGCTAACGTGGTGAAACCCCATCTCTACTAAAAAATACAAAAAAATTAGCCAGGTGTGGTGGCGGGTGCCTGTAGTCCCAGCTACTTGGGAGGCTGAGGCAGGAGAATGGCGTGAACCTGGGAGGCAGAGCATGCAGTGAGCCGAGATCACACCACTGCACTCCAGCTTGGGCGACAGAGCAAGACTCCATCTCAAAAAAAAAAAAAAAGTGACTTTAAAGAACCAAAATTCTTTTCTAGTGGATATTTTTACTTTTAACACTGACCTGACCACAATAAATGCTAGTGGATATATCTGCTGAAAGATTATTTACTACTTGCTTAGGAGACTTAGCTGCAGGGATACCTAGCTGCTTGGAGCTGCACCTTAGGCCCCATATTACTTGACCTTGGCAAAAGTAAGGCAGATGTCCCATACTGTAATCTGCTCGGGGCATAGGCTGGGGCCTGGCCCATATGTCTTGCAGAGCCGCTGTCAATATGGTGCTGGGAACGTGGACCAGCCAGGGGGCAGGAGCATGGGCTTTGCCTGCCACTGGGGCGTACTATGGGTGGGGCGATGCCGACAAGTTGCAGTGGATCCTTGATGTTACTAGCTCAGCAAAAGCTACCTGGCGAATTAGGAGCTTGGAGTTCTTTTTGGGAGGGGGACTTAGGCTGGGCCTGAGGGGAAGGATTGGGTGTATTAGGAGGGGGACTAGGGGTATTAGGTGGACGATGGTCTAGGGGATACCATGTGCTGTTCTCTTTGCCAGGATCCCCCCTTCTCTCACTGGTTCTACAGTAGGGGCAGGTGCATAAGGGAAAAGGGAGGACAGGTCTTCACTTCCAACAAAGAGCATAGTCCAGTTCTTCTTGAGAAACTGGGCTTTTATTACTTACATGTTTAATTAAAAGTTGATATAGTATACCCTTAGTCAATCCAAACTTTGGCCAGAAGATTGAGGGACTGAGGATAGGTCTTTGAGACCAAATAGAACAGCAATTATTTTATCATGTTCCTTTGTCTTATGTTTAGTTCTCTTGTTATCTTTCCAACCTTTTAGCATGAGACCTAAGGGGCTATCAGTTGGTATATCTTTGAGACCTAGGGGACTATCAGGCAGTGTATCTTTGTTGCTAACTTTATATTTTTTGCTTGTATTATTTACCATACTGGGTCCGGGCTAGGCTCTATCTCTCATATTAGGAATCTCTTGCCTAGCGGGGGCTTGCTGTGGCTCAACCCCTCATATTAGGGGTCTCTTGCCTGTCCTTCACTGAAAGCTTTGCTAATTCACCTATCCTTTAGCTCCACCTGCTGGAGGTTCCTTGCACCCTTCTTTCACTGTCCACTCTGGCCGAACATTCCCTTGAGGGAATGTTCCAGGTCACTCTTAGCATTGATGGCGGGTCAGTATAAACCCCAGACAGGACCCCCAAAGGGCCACCCTAAGCCATATGAGATGACCATGGAACCGCAGATTGGACTCACTCCGCACAGCAGTAGTGCTTGTTACCATTCATGCACTTTCAACCTCCAGAATGCCCTGACCCCCGCAAAACCACTAGAGAAATATTTTGTCACCCCTGCGATGTTTTCTACCTTGGTCTGTGCAGTCTCCCTGGTCACCGCTGTATTGCAAGTCTTTCTTCCCCGCGTTGTTGAGAGTCCGTCCAGGTTTATTCATCACAACAGGTGGGTCTCAATCTCCCGTCCCTGAGGCCACCAACAGGGCAGTGGGTTGTGTCTCCCCTGGGTAGGTTGACTGAAGACCCCTTCCCAAAGGAGAATGGGGATCCTGGACGAGCCCCTAGAATTGCTGGATATAAAATGCCCCAGGAATAAATGCTCGGTGCCATGAAGTAAAACCAGCACTCAGGCAAAAGTTTAATTCTCTCAGCAAGGTAATTTACTTCTACAGAAGGGTGCCACCTGTGTCAATTAAGATCACATGAGCACACAGAAAAAGAGAGACCAGGATTTTTTTTATCCTTAACATAGTCCCCATCTCTGTCACTCCCCCCATGGGCTGTGGTTGGACTGCACAATCTGAGCTGACCCAATTGGCCACTTGTACATATTTTCCTAAATATAGAAGGGGAGGGGGACATGAGGTACAGAGGTGTAGTGTGTAGTTTCAGAGGAACAATGGGTACAGGTAACCAAGGGAACAGATGTGAATTATTGACTAGAGCTGATGGGAAGGGGGTAGGCTGTTTACGGTAACTAGAGGCAAGGAAGAACAAGAAAGTTGAGTTTGAGAACAAGGATAAGGAAGTTAACGGGCTAAACCCTTTGAAGAGAAATTCAGACTTATTGCATCTTACAATCTCTTCCTGTGACTGCCTGGACCTGACAGTCCTCTTGCCGGACCAGACCTGTGCGGTGTCTCCACAGTGCCCACATGGATTTTAATAGAAAATGAACACTTTTTTCTCCCCCTCATATTTAAAGTAGTTGTTTGATCATTAATTTTTCCACTTTTGTTTTTCTATGGGAGAAGTAACTTCGAGGTCTTGTGGAATGATGGTGTCCCACCCTTCCCCTGCACAGCAACCCCTACACACACACATACGCACACTTTCTGTGGCTTTTAGCTCAGGCCATGGACACTTCCTATGGCTTTTAGCTCAGGCCATGGGAAATGGGCAGCATTAGGGTGGTAGGCCAGGCAGTGGGGAGATCCTACATTCCAGGTACCCCTAGCCCTTCCCCTAACCAGGCTAACCTTGGGGATTCCCTGGAGATCAACCACTTCCAGTGAGAGTGAGTGGACAAAAGCCTCTGGATCAGCCATTCCTTCTCTCTCTCCAAGTCCTTCTTCCTCTCCAGCATCAAAACCAAGCCTAAGTATTTTGAGGTTACACAAACATCTCTCCCCTTCTTTTCTGTGGCAGTCTCTTAGCAAATAAAGGCACTGGGGCCTGAGTGGACAGCTCTCCAAGGTACACTCATTGACATAGGATGTCAGGTAGGGCCAGCCCCAGGCCAAGGGAGTAAGGTAAACTGTCAGAACCTGGGCCATATGGGCCCTGGGAGTGTGAGGAGAAACAAATGGCTAAAGGCCCTAGCACTATTCCTGGATGTAATTTAGCCACCCGAGCATGGCTAAAACACTGGGTACTGAGATTGGATGATTTAAGAGGAGCTGTGTTAGGCCGGGCGCGGTGGCTCAAGCCTGTAATCCCAGCACTTTGGGAGGCCGAGATGGGCGGATCACGAGGTCAGGAGATCGAGACCATCCTGGCTAACACGGTGAAACCCCGTCTCTACTAAGAAATACAAAAAAATAGCCGGGCGAGGTGGCGGGCGCCTGTAGTCCCAGCTACTCGGGAGGCTGAGGCCGGAGAATGGCGTGAACCCAGGAGGCAGAGCTTGCAGTGAGCTGAGATCCGGCCACTGCACTCCAGCCTGGGCTACAGAGCGAGACTCCGTCTCAGAAAAAAAAAAAAAAAAAAAAAAAGAGGAGCTGTGTTTAAAAACTCTTTTTTTTTTTTTTTTTTGAGACGGAGTCTCACTCTGTCACCCAGGCTGGAGTGCAGTGGCGCGATCTCGGCTCACTGCAAGCTCCGCCTCCCGGGTTCACGCCATTCTCCCACCTCAGCCTCCGAGTAGCTGGGACTACAGGCGCCCGCCACCACACCCGGCTAGTTTTTTGTATTTTTAGTAGAGACGGGGTTTCACCGTGTTAGCCAGGATGGTCTCGATCTCCTGACCTCGTGATCCACCCGCCTCGGCCTCCCAAAGTGCTGGGATTACAGGCTTGAGCCACCGCGCCCGGCCTTAAAAACTCTTAAACCTGGTATTGGAAGGTCAATGATGTGGCATTGCTAGATCCCTGTCATTGAAGGCCAAGGTGGTGTGGCTATGATATTTAAGTCCTGAGTCTGAAGAACTTTTAGAGTATGGTTAAAGAATCTTGGATTTGGGCCTGGAGGGTTAGGAAGGGGACCTGGTTAAGGAATCCCTCAGATTGTAGAGTTGGAAACTGAACTCTGAGTAAAATCTAAAGGTGGGGTAGGAGAGGACACAGCAAAGGCTAGAGATGTATAAAAAAATAAAGCAGGAGAGTGTCATAGAAGCCAATGGAAGAACACAGTTGCAGGAGGAAGTAGTCAGATGCAAAGACCATTCCTCTAAGGGGACTGTCACTTGACAGCTCTGCCCTCAGAAGTTAGATCTCTGCCATCTTCACATCTGTAGGAATGTAAGTGGTCAGAAGACTCTCCCTAAAGCCCTTAGAACGAGAGTGGGGTGGGTGTACAGTGGATAGATTTGACTCCCAGTATCTCTTAAGGGGCCACTTCCAGCCAACACTTTACTCTCACTCCATGAAGAAGGCTTCTCCCGAGTGTGTCCTCTGACATGTGACAAGGAATGATGTCCACGTACAGCTCTGTCCACATTACCTTACAAACAAGGCTTCTCCCTGAGCATTTCTGCTGGTGCGGCTGATGGCTGACTTGCGAAAATCACATCCTCACTCCTTGCACCTCTAAAGCTTTTCCCCAAATGTGTCTTCTGGTGTATGCTGAGCTGTGACTTCCTCCTAAAGCCTCGCCCACACTCCGTGCAAGCATAAGGCTTCTCCCCCGAGTGTATCCTCTGATGCAAGCTGAGAGTGGACTTGTGGCTAAAGTTTCGCCCACACTCCATGCACGCGTAAGGCTTCTCTCCTGTGTGTGTCCTCCAGTGTCTGCTGAGGAGTATCTTCCGGCCAAATCCCCACCCACATTCCCCACACACATAAGGCTTCTCCCCTGAATGTGTCTGCTCGTGTGCGAGGAGAGCTGATTTATCACGAAAGCCTCGCCCACACTGGCTGCACACATAAGGTTTCTCCCCGGAGTGTGTACTCCGGTGGTAGTGGAGGGTTGACTGAGCGATAAAGCCTCGCCCACACTCTCCGCAGACATAAGGCTTTTCTCCTGTGTGTGTCCTCTGGTGTCTGATGAGCTGTGATTTTGTGATAAAGCCGCGCCCACACTCCGCGCACGCATAAGGCTTCTCCCCAGAGTGTATCCTCTGATGTACACTAAGAGCGGACTTGAGGCTAAAGTTTCGCCCACACTCAAAGCACGTGTAAGGCTTCTCTCCCGTGTGTGTCCTCCAGTGTCCACTGAGGAATATCCTCCGGCTAAATCCCCGCCCACATTCCCCACACACATAAGGCTTCTCTCCTGAGTGTGTTCTCTGATGTGATTTGAGCGTCGACTTCTGGCTAAATCCATGCCCACACTCCTCACACACATGAGGTTTCACCTCTGAATGTGTCCACTGGTGTAGGAGGAGAGTCGATTTAGCACGAAAGCCTCGCCCACACTCTCTGCAAACAAAAGGCTTCTCATCTGAATGTATCCTCTGGTGTGTGTTGAGACATGATCTCCTTACAAAGCCTCGGCCACAGTCCCTGCACACGTAAGGCTTATCCCCTGTGTGAATTCTCTGGTGCTTAATGAGTTCTGACTTTTCACGAAAGCCTCGCCCACACACTGTGCACATAAATGACTTCTCCCTTGTGTGTGTCCTCTGATGTCTGATGAGGTATGGCTTGCAGCTAAAGCCTCGCCCACACTGGCTGCACACATAAGGTTTCTCCCCAGAGTGTGTACTCAGGTGGTTGCGGAGGACTGACTCAACTATAAAGCCTCGCCCACACTCTCCGCAGACATAAGGCTTTTCTCCTGTGTGTGTCCTCTGGTGTATGATGAGCTGTGACTTCCTGCTAAAGCCGCGCCCACACTCCCCGCACACCTGTGACTGTCTTTTGTCTGAAGATTTTTCTGCTGTGACTGCCTTCTGTCTGAACAGGTTTGACTTCTGGTTAAAAGCTAGTGCACACTCTCCAAACCTGACTGCTCCAAACCCTGGGGTTTCTGCCCTCTTGGAAATTCTGTCTACTTCCTCAGAGCTTGCATTCTGGGCTGGACTGAGCTGTATCTCTAATATTCTGTTGCCTCCCTGAGAGCTTATTGGTGGTCTCTGGAACAGGCTAGAGAAACCCACTAAAGTCCCCCTCTCATTTGTACTCCAAAACAAGGGTCTGACGCCTCCTTCCACTCGTTGATCTTCTGCTTCAGCCCCCCTGTGATTTTTATCAGAAGGACATTGTGGCTGTGGCTGATCCCCTGGGCAGGGGTTTCCTGGGTGGAGTTGATTTCCTGCATGGAAACCTGGAATGGGATGATTGTGTAGCTCATCTTGGCTGAGGAATTGCTGACTGCCAAAAGCCAGAGGGCAAGAAGGGCAGGTGTGGACTTCTGGCTTTGATTCTGCTGAAGAGAGAAAGTTTCCAGTCAGAAAAGTCACAGGAAGGGCTGACTGGGCTCCTGTTTTATGGTAAGACCTGGCCCATTAATCATTCTAAATGATTAAAGTCTTTCTCCCCAAGATGTGCTATGCAGGACCTGTATTTCCATTCAACTTCTTCAAACTTTTGATTTGGAAATCATTTCAAATAGACAGAAAAGCTGCAAGAATATGAATAATACAAAGGGCCAGGTACAGTGGATCATGCCTGTTAATCCCAGCACTTTGGGAGGACAAGGTGGGCGGATTGCCTGAGCTCAGGACTTGAAGACTAGCCTGGGCAACACGGTGAACGCCGTCACAAAAAAAGTTCCTGATGTTTCCCATGATTAGATTCAGATTATACATTGCACTCCATTTTTACCTATTACATGTTTTACTTTAATCCAAAAAAACCCACAGCCGAATCTATTCTATATATTATCCCAACAGAGAATCTTCCAAGTAGGCATCTGAGACATCCTCAGCTCTGTAAATATCTACAGTTATACTAAAATTATCTTCTACCATAATCACATAATGCCACAAGCATTTGTTTCCACTGAGAGAGAACAGTCTTTGTGACCTATATGGGAATGCTCTTTATGACTTTTCCTTTGAGAAGGATGGATTGAGATAGGAGTCACTTAGTCTCGATGTCCGCCAATGTAGAATGCAGTACAGAATAGTAGTTGAAGAATGTGCATAGGAAGCCTTCATTTGAGTTTCCCCACTTATCAGTAGATATTTATTAGAGGAAGATTACATGCCAGGTTCTACAGAAGTAAGGATTCATCAGTGGAGAAGACAGGCACAACTGACTTAGGAGGCTGGCTCTTGGTCCTCCAATCCAAGACCTGCTCTTCCCTGTTTTCCACAAGTCAGCAAATACAGCAATGTTACCATTGAGCTGTACTTTCCTAAGAAATATCAAAATTAAATTGCAACTGTTTCTAACCAGCTGAAAATAACAACCATGAACCTTTTGTAATCCAGGCCAGACCCTTTATCAGCCTAACTGAAGACCCTTGCCTAACTAATAAATAGGATTTTTTTTTTTTTTTTTGAGACAGCGTCTCACTCTGTCGCCAGGCTCGAGTGCAGTGGCACGATCTCGGCTCACTGCAACCTCTACCTCCCGGGTTCAAGTGATTCTCTCGCCTCAGCCTCCCGAGTAGCTGGGACTACAGGCGCCCATCACTCCACCCAGCTAATTTCTGTATTTTTAGTAGAGACGGGGTTTCACCATGTTGGGCAAGATGGTCTCAATCTCTTGACCTTGTGATCCACCCACCTCGCGGCCTCCCAAAGTGCTGGGATTATAGGTGTGTCACCGCCCGGCCTTTTTTTTTTTTTTTTTTTGGAGACAGTTTCACTCTTGTCGCCCAGCCTGGAGTGTAATGGTGGGATCTCCGCTCACTGCAACTTCCACCTCCTGGGTTCGAGCAATTCTCCTGCCTCAGCCTCCTGAGTGGTTGGGATTACAGGCGCGCGCCACCATAAACGGCTAATTTTTGTATTTTTAGTAGAGACGCGGTTTCACCATGTTGGCCAGGCTGGTTTCGAACTCCTGATCTCAGGTGATCCCACCCTCCTCAGCCTCCCAAAGTGCTGGGATTACAAGTGTGAGCCACTGCGCTGGCCAGGAGAATTGTTTTAACCAAACATGTATAGACCCATGGATTCATTCCATCCTATGCAGAGTCCTGGTCTTTCATATTTAATTAGCACAAATGCCATAAAACTGCCTTCCTACTATTTAGTAGTCCTCTCTGTGAACTATTCAGTAAGGTTTCTTTACTATTCATTCCCTTGCCTGACAATTAAATAAACTCCAAATTTTTATTTATTTATTCACTTGTATAAAGTTCCGATGGTCTTTATTACCTGAATTTGGATTGTAAGCTCTATTACTATTATTATTATCCTTAATAATAATAGACCCCATAATAAACATCACTTACTATGGGCCCAGCATTGTGTTTTGTGCTATGCAGGGCTTTACATAAAGACCAAATTTAATCCTGGTATTATCATTTCATAGATCGGGAAATTGAAGTTTAGAAGGATTAGTAACATTGTGTCCACAGTCATAAAGTAAGAAAGGACAAGACAGGGTTCAGGATGCCAAAATATGTGTTCCTAAATACTCTCAATACACCACGAATAACTCTGAGCTGTTTAAAGGCCTATGTTCTATAAATAATGAGATCCTTGCTTCTTTGACTAGGCCTTTGAAGAAAAGAAGCCAGTGAGAATTAAGCCCCCTGACATAGATGCAATACCTCTTGGGAAAGCTAACCAACTTTGGCCTTTGAACTACATCTAGGGGCCAGGAGTGTTCCAGGCTTTGACTACTCTAGGCTTGCAAAGCTGCCATCCAGACATCCTGATGATCAGATTCCCAGACACCCAGACCAACTGCTCCAACTCTCTCAGGACAGGAAGAGGGATGAGGACTACCTAAGCTACACCGCTCCAGAGGAGTCACTGAAACCAGGACCCCTCTCCATCCAGAAGAAATGAAGCCCTGGAGCCACAGAGTGCTGCCCTAGAATCAGGAATCGAAGAATGTGGTGGTGGGAGCGGGTAACTAAAGCCAAATGGGGCAGGGCACCGTGGCTCACGCTTGTAATCCTAACACTTAGGGAGGCCGAGGCGGGTGGATCACTTGAAGTCAGGAGTTCAAGACCAGCCTGGCAAACATGGTGAAATCTCATCTCTATTCAAGATACAAAAATTAGCCGGACATGATGGCAGGCGCCTGTAATCCCAGCTACTCGGGAGGTTGAGGCAGGAGAATCACTTGAACACAGGAAGCGGAGGTCGCTGTGAGCCAGGATCGCACCATCGTACTCCAGCCTGGGTGACAGAACAAGACTCTGTCTCAGACAAATAAATAATAAAGCCAACTGGACCCCCATCCATCCAAAAGAAATTAAGCCCTGGAGCCACAGAGTTCTGTCCTAGAAGAAGGAACAGAAGAATGGAATGGGAGTGGGTGACTAAAGCCAATTCTTCCTCTTATTTTATTTTATTTTATTTTTTTGAGACAGTCTCTGTTGCCCAGGCTGCAGTGCAATGGTGTGATCCTGGCTCACTGCAACCTCCGCTTCCCAGGTTCAAGCAATTCTCTTGCCTCAGCCTCCCAAGTAGCTGGGACTACAGGGGTGTGCCACTGTGCCCAGCTAACTTTTGTATTTTTAATAGTGACGGGGTTTCACCATGTTGCCCAGGCTGGTCTCGAACTCCTGAGCTTCGAACTCAGCCTCCCAAAGAGAAAGGATTACAGGTGTGAGCCACCGCGCCTGGCCTTTTTGTTTTTATTTATTTATTTATTTATTTATTTTTGGGATGGAGTCTCGCTCTGTCACCCAGCTGGAGTGCAGTGGCGTGATCTCGACTCACTGCAACCTCCGCCTCCCGGATTCAAGCGATTCTCCTGCCTCAGCCTCCTGAATAGCTGGGATTACAGGCACATGCCACCTCGCCCGGCTAATAGTTTTAGTAGAGACAGGGTTTCACCATGTTGGTCATGCTGGTCTCGAACTCCTGACCTCATGATCCGCCCGCCTCGGCCTCCCAATGTGCTGGGATTAGAAGCGTGAGCCACTGCACCTGGCCTCTTCCTTCTTTTTTCTACATTTCTAATAAACAAGACCCTTCAACTTAAAAAAAAGGAAGTCCATAATGTTCAGAGTAAAAGCCAAGCTGCTCAGAGGGCCCACTGGGTTCCACCTACTGCTTCTTTGACTCAAGCCTATTCTCCAGCCTTCATTTGTTCCATCTGAGCCACACTATCCTCCCATCCAGATGACTTACACTGTCTGGTTTCTATGTCTACAGCACCCTTCTCCCATACATATCACTGGTATAGTCTAAGAATGCAGAACTAGACCCAGCGTTTAATAGTCAATACATACTTTTGAGTAAATGAGTGACAGGAGCCAAGTTAATTAAAAAAGGACTAGAGGGTTAGGCAGAAGATGTTCTCAATACTGTCAGAACAAAAGCCTCCTTTTTGTAACTTATGTTTCGTAACATCTCACTTACTGTCCTGAAATAAAATTCATATTTAATTAAATGTACTCATATGCAGAATGTTTTGTGTTTTTTTTCTCTCCAAGATGGAGTCTTGCTCTGTCGCCCAGGCTGAAGTGCAGTGGTGCAATCTTGGCTCACTGCAACCTCCGCCTCCCAAGTTCAAGTGATTCTCCTGCCTCAGCCTCCTGCATAGCTGGGATTACAGGTGCACATCACCATGCCTGGCTGATTTTTTTTTTTTTTTCTATTTTTAGTAGAGGTGGGGTTACACCGTGTTGGCCAGACTGTTCTCAAACTCCTGACCTCGTGATCCGCCGGCCTCAGCCTCCCAAAGTGCTGGGATTACAGGCATGAGCCACCACGCCTGGCCGCAGAATGTTTTAATAATGTAATGCCCTATCCAAAACATTACAAAGAAAGGAACTGGGCGTGGCAGCTCACGCCTGTAATCCCAACACTTTGGGAGGCTGAGGCAGGCAGATCATCTGAGGTCAGTAGTTTGAGACCAGCCTGACCAACATGGTGAAATCCTGTCTCCACTAAAAATACAAAAATTAGCCGGGCATGGCGGCACATGCCTGTAATTCCAGCTACTCAGGAGGCTGAGGCAGGACAATTGCATGAACTGGGGAGGCAGAGGTTGCCATGAGCCGAGATTGCACCACTGCACTGCAGCCTGGGTGACAAGAGCAAAGTTCAGTCTCAAAAAAAAAAAGAAAAAAAGAAAGAAAAAAAGAAAAAAAGAAAGTAATTTACAATAAAAATATTCATTTCAATATGTAATCTCTTGACAGGGCTACATTATGAGACATACCAGAGCAATCAGGTGCTTACAGGACAAGACAAGTGCTTACACTGTAGACAAGACAGCTACAAATGCAGACACACATGGATGTGCCTTATTGATGACTATGTGTGTTCTAGTAGTGACAGACCTAAGTGTGCTATGCAAGTGGTTACTCAAACACCACAACCAGCACTGCCATGAGTGATGTGATTTTTTTTTCATATTGGTGAACACCTCTTGGTAAAGCTCAAAAACTATTTTCTCTTGATTTACAATCTACCATGCAAAAATTACTTTATGATACTATCTAACATAGATTTATATTCTAGATTCAGAACATTACAAACAGATCCGTGGGCTACAGGGGAAAAAAAAAAGGAGACAGAGAAGGAGCTGATATAAATTAAGAGAATTTTTTAGAAGATGGAATGTGTGGATCTCATCTGAATCCCAATTCAATTTTGCAAAAAAACTTGAGATGATCTAGGTGTTGGATGATACTGAAGCATTCCTGGTAACTTTCTGAGTTCTGATCATGACACTGTGGTTATATAAGAAAATATTAGGCCGGGCACAGTGGCTCATGCCTGTAATCCCAGCACTTTGGGAGGCTGAGGCAGGTGGATCATCTGAGGTCAGGAGTTCGAGACCAGCCTGGCTAACATGGTGAAACCCCGTTTCTACTAAAAATACAAAAAAATTAGCGGGGTGTGGTGGTGCGTGCCTGTAATCCCAGCTACTCGGGAGGCTGAGGCAGGAGAATTGCTTGAACCCGGAAGGTGGAGGTTGCAGTGAGCCAAGATCGCGCCACTGCATTCCAGCTTGGGCAACAAGAGTGAAACTCCATCTCAAAAAAAATAAATAAATAAAATAAAATATCCTTATTTATTGGAGTTGCACTGTGATATAACATGAGTGGTATGTCATGATATTTGAGATTTGCTTTAAATAATTCAGCAATAAGAGAAAAAGTGATGTAGAGAGAAAGGGAAAGATGGATCAAGAACAAAAACAGTTTAACACCTGAAATGGATCCAATGAGATCCAAAGTTTCAGGGTCAAGATTAATTTGAATCAGATTATTTTAAGACAATTTTAACATATTCTTCAGAATCAACAAAATGTATGAGCATAAAGATAGAGTAACAAGACCAGATGAAATGAGACCAGATCAGACTGGCCAATTGAAAGCTAACTTAAATGGATGAATCTGCACTGAAATAGAAATAAGCAAAACTAGGATTGAAATGAGGCCAATTCAAATGAGATTAAAGCAGTGCAAAATAGGTCTAAACAGATGCAAAGAGAATAAATCAGAACTATTTAATTCATAGCTATGCCAGATGAAGACAAACCTTGAGAAAGCTGCTGAGAGAAATGTGAGGAACTTTGAAAATCTGACTCTCATCAATAACTCAAGAATATCCAGAATGATTTTGTTATTTGCTAACCTAGTAATCAGTTTTAGTTTTCAAATAAGTGAATAAAAACATGATGTATGATATCCAGTAATCTTTAAAACATCAAACTGACAGACTTATACCTTAAACCTCAAACATTTCCAACTTCTAGGTCATAGAAGGCATCTCTTACTATTCTCCTCCTTGTTCTCTGTACTCCAAACACCTTGGCCTCTTTACTTTTCCTCCAAAGGACTAGATATGCTCCTGCCTCCAGAGCCGTGGCACTGCTTTCCTCTTGTCTGGAGCAGTTTCCCACCTGACCCACATACCCAACCTCCTTACCTCCTTCAAGCCTTTGTTCAAATGTACTTCCTCAGAGAGGCCTACCCTGATCACGCAATTTAAAAGTTCAGCCAGTTGCCTCCACACCCAGGCACTTCAGATCTCCCTTAATCTGCTCTACTTATATTTATATATATCTTATACATTTTTTAACTATGTAGCACTTCTTATCCTTTGACATATATAATTTACCTATATATGCTGCTTATTGTACATTGTCAGTCTACCTATACTAGAATGTAAGCTCCATGAGAGAAGAATTGCTTTATTATTCTATTCATCGATATGTTCTAAGAGATTAAAACATTGGCTGGCACACTGAATATGGTCAGTAAATACTTAAATGGAAAAATGAAGGAAGAGAACATATCCTCACCCAACGAGACCAGATTCCTGAGATTTTCCAGCATCACTTCTTTGAATAGGTTCCTCTGCTCAAGGTTCAGTCTCTTCCACTCTGCCTCAGTGAAAAGCACAGCCACATCCTCGAAAGTCACTGGTCCCTAAATCAACCAATAAATTCATATTCATCAAGTCACAATTAAGATTCACAGGGAGAATGGAACTGGTGGTCTTGGAGAATCTAGCTACATAAGAAATGGATCTAGGCCAGGCACGGTGGCTCACACCTACAATCCCAGCACTTTGGGAGGCCAAGGTGGGAGGTTACCTTGAGGTCAGGAGTTCAAGACCAGCCTGGCTAATATGTTAAAACACTGTCTCCAGTAAAAATACAAAAATTAGCTGGGCGTGATGGCACACGCCTGTAGTCCCAGTTACTCGGGAGGCTGAGGCGGGAAAATCGCTTGAACCCTAGAGGCAGAGGTTGCAGTAAACCAAGATCACTCCACTGCACTCCAATGTGGGTGACAGAGGGAGACTCTGCCTCAAAAAAAAAAAAAAAAAAGAGAGAAAGAAATGGATTTGCTACTTGGGAGGCTGAGGTGGGAGGATTGCTTGAGCCCAGGAGTTCAAGACTAGCTTGGGCAACACAGTGAGACCCTGTCTCTATGAAAAATAAACAAAAATTAGCCAGGTATGGGGGTGTACACCTGTAGTTCCAGCTATTCAGGAGGCTGAGGTAGGAGGATTGCCTGATCCTAGCAGGTCAGGGCTACAGTGAGCTGAGATTGCACCATTGCACTCTGGCCTGGGTGACCAGAGCGAGACCGTCTCAAAAAAACCTACACCATATGCTTTTTCATCTTCAAGTCTCTTCTCTTCAAAATGAGTATTCAGTGGTGTTTTCTCTTTAGTTATACTTGAAAGGTGGCATTGCCCTCAGATACCAAGGGAGCCACCAATCAACTTACTTCTACTGAATTCAAGCATTATTTGCTCAGTGACCAACTGCTTCAGCCTGTGGGTATTTCATGACACTCCTAACTTGCCCTAGATTTTTTTTTTTTTTTTTTTTTTTGAGACAAGTCTTACTCTGTCGTCCAGGCTGGAGTGCAGTGGCGTGATCTTGGCTCACTGCAGCCCCTGCCTCCCGGGTTCAAGTGATTCTCCTGCCTCAGCCTCCCAAGTAGCTAGGACTACAAGTGCATATCACCACGCCTGGCTAATATTTTGGGGGTTTTTTTGTTTTTTTGTTTTTTTTTTAGTAGAGATGGGGTTTCACCATGTTGGCCAGGCTAGTTTCTAATTCCTGACCTCAAGTGATCTGCCTGCCTTGGACTTGCTTTAGATTTTTAACTTTACTCTGCAGACTTTGGGGAACATTTGCACATTATTCCCAGCTGCTTCTGATCGTCCTGAGTATCTCTTCTCTGACTCAGCTTCTTCCTCCTATTCTCAGGTATTCATCAGTCTTCTTGTCCACCTTCCAGTGGTCCTTGGCACTTCAGGAGTTGGGAATATATATTCCAGGTTCTAAAGCGAAACTAACTAAGCTTCTATGAAATCAAAGATGACAGTAGGGGCTGGAGAAAGCACACTGCAAGGCTACCAAGCCAGAGCTTCTTAGCATCCTCCCCTGAGAGCTGGACTATAAAAGAGATTTAATAAAACCCAGCACAGAAGAGCAGAAGCAGTAGAGAATAATAATGACGCTGAGGCCGGGCGCGGTGGCTCAAGCCTGTAATCCCAGCACTTTGGGAGGCTGAGACGGGCGGATCACGAGGTCAGGAGATCGAGACCATCCTGGCTAACACGGTGAAACCCCCGTCTCTACTAAAAAAAACTAGCCGGACGAGGTGGCGGGCGCCTGTAGTCCCAGCTACTTGGGAGGCTGAGGCAGGAGAATGGCGTGACCCGGGAGGCGGAGCTTGCAGTGAGCTGAGATCCGGCCACTGCATTCCAGCCTGGGCGACAGAGCAAGACTCCGTCTCAAAAAAAAAAAAAAAAAAATAATGACGCTGAGCTAAGAGTAGGAAACTAGGTGTAGATACTGAAATCCTTGAGTGTGTGAGAAGTTTTGGGAGGGATGTCACATCTATAGCCAGCAGCCCAGGCAGTCAGGCTGCATGGCATAGTGTAGGAGGGAGGACAGAAAGTCTAGACAGCAGGCCAGGACCCAGGATTAGGCAGCCAAGGCCTGAGCGGGCAGTAGTGTGGGCTGCTGTCCCTTACATGCTTTCCATGACCTGCTGCTTCAGGCATATCCTGGTTCTCATATGCTCAGTGATCTTTCCACTTGTCTTTTTATATCCCGGGTCTCATAATTTCTCTTGTTCAAGCCTTGTGTCTCTCATGTTCCAACATCCTCTCCATTTCTCTCTTGACTCCTCTTCCCCCTCTAGTTCTTCCACTGAAGCATAAAACAGGCTCAGCTACAATGGAAGCTAGGCTTTTTGCACAGTGGATGTAGTAGGAGCCCAATCTATGGAGCCCGACCACATAAGTCCAAATCCCAACTTTGCCACTTATACAATACATGACCTTTGGAAACTTACATAACCTCTCTGTGTCTTAGTTTCCACATCTATAAAATGGGCTTGATAATGACACCTACTATCTTAATAAAGATAAAGCACTGACATCAATGCCTGACATGCAGTAAACACTTGCTATTACTATTTGCTATAATTAAGCAATGGAATGTTTTATATTTAAATGAAAACTGGTTTTTAAAATAAGTAAATAATTTTTGGTTCTCAAAAAATAATCAAACATTCTGTCCAGTACAAGGCAAGAAGAGGAAGTAAAAAGCATAGAGACTGGTAAGGAAGAAATAAAATTACCCCATTTGCCAAGGACATGGTTTTCTATGCAGGAAATGCAAAGGAATCTATAAAAATGATCATATAACTAGTAAGTGAGTCCAGGAGGATTGAAAGATACAAGATGAACACATAAACATCCATCGTATTCCTATAGATTAGCAACAACCATGTGAAACTGAAATTAAAAACATAATACCATTTACAATCACTCCCCCCAAAAAGAGGTGCCTAACATAAACCCAACAAAACAAGTATAACATCTGTACACTGAAAACTACAAAATGCCAATGGAAAAAAAAAATCAAAGAAGATCTAGCTAAATGGGGAGACAAAGCATGTTCATGAGTTGGAAGGCTCAACAAAGACGTCAATCTTCCCCAAAATGATCTACAGATTTAACACAATTCCTATCAAAATCCCAAACAGATTTTTTTTGTAGATTTATAGACAACTTATCCTATTATATATATAAGGCAAAGAAACTAGAAGAACAAAGTAAGAGGGATCACTCTACCTCATATTAAACTTACTACTATTTGGTCACTGCAATACTTGAGACAGGGTATTGATGGAAGAATAGACACACAGATCGACAGAAGAGAACCGAGAACCAAGAACCCAAAAAGAGATCAACACAAATACCCCAAATTGCTAAAAGTAATTCAATGAAGAATAGATTTTGCAACAAACGGCACTGGACCAACTGGACATTCACAGACAAAAAAATTAACCTGAACCTAAAACCTCACACCGTATACAAAAAAAAAAAAAAAAAAAAAAAAAATCAAAATGAATCACTAATTTAAATATAAAAATATAAAAATGTTAGAAAAAAATACAGGAGAAGATCTGTATTGGGACCTAGTGCTTAGTAAAGAGTTCTTAGACATGACACCAAAACCACAATCCATAAAAGAAAAACACAATAAAACAGACTTCACCGAAATTAAAACTTTTTTCAGTGGCTCACGTCTGTAATCCTAGCACTTCACTTTGGGAGGCTGAGGCAGGCGGATCTCCTGAGGTCAGGAGTTTGAGACCAGCCTGGCCAACATGGTGAAACCCCATCTCTACTGGAACATAGAGGCAGACGGAACATTTCCTAACCCATCCTATGAATCCAGCATTACCCTAATAGCAAATCTAGATAAAGACATTAGAAATTAAAACTATAGATCAATAGATCTCACAGACACAATACCCCCCTCCCAAAATATAAGAAAATCAAATCCAGAAAAGTATAAGAATTACACACCACACTTGGGTTTATTATAGTTCTGCAAAGCTGGTTCAACATTTGAAAATCAATCATTGTAGAGGTCAGGGTTGGTTTTTCAAGACTGCTGCCTTCGAGGCTCTGGGGTCCAGCTGTGGGCAGCTTCCCCATGGGCTCCTAGCAGGCCCAGCAGCGACCAGCTGGTCTCAGCTTCCAGCTCGCCGGTTCAGGGCAGTGGTGGAGATCCAAGAAGGAAAGACAACTATAATTGAAGGCCGTATCACAGCGACTCCCAAGGAGAGTCCAAATCCTCCAAACCCCTCTGGTCAGTGCCCCATTTGCCATTGGAACCTGAACCACAAGTAAAACTATGACAATGTTTTGCTGCTTAGCCAGTTCATCCAGCCTCATGGAGGCACGCTGCCCTAAAAGATGACAGGCCTATGCCGGGAAGAGCACTGCAAGATGGAGGAGTGTGTGAAGATGGCCTACCAAGCAGGTCTGTTACCAAATCATAGGCCTCAGCTTCCTGAAGGAGTTGTTCCAAAGAGCAAACCCCAACTCAACCAGTATCTGATGCGCTGGGCTCCCCACTCCCTCAGGCCCATCTACATAAAAGGCCCCCCCTGGAACAGGGTGCTCATGGCCTTGGGGTCCCCCCTCCTGAGGGACAATGTCTGCTACTCAAGAACACCTTGGAAGCTGTATCACTGACAGACAGCAGAGCTTCTAGAGTTCCTCCTGCACTATGGAGTAGGAGGCCCACTCACAAGCCCTCGGTCACAACTATAGTCCTGCCCCAACCGCCCCATGACGGCCTGGCCCCTCTGACATGTATGGACAGGTGACAGTGGGACGAACTTCAGTACCCTTGGCCTCCCCAGTAGCAATGCTGGGAGCTAGAGGCAGGCAGGGCAGTTGGGTCCCTCGGCAGCTGCTGTGGGGCTTGGGCCATACTCAGTGCTGGGAACAGAAGATTTTGCCCAATGGAATGTCATAAACTAGGCTCATGGGCTTAAAGAAAAGAAAAGAAAATCAATCATTGTAATCCACCATGTTAATAGGCTAAAGAAACAAAATCAGATGATCATATCATTTGATGCAGAAAACACACTTGACA